AAGTAATTGCAAGGATGAAGGTTAGGGTATAAGGTAGGTAGCAAGGTGTTGATGGTTTAGAGTATATATGGTATTGATTGGTTAGGGTATAAGGTGTTATTGTTGTAGAGTATATGGTATTGATTGGTTCGGGTATTAGGGTTTAGGGTTACAATAACATTACCAAATCAGTAGATTAATTTTGGTAAACGAAAAAGTTAGTTAATCTACAAAGCCAGTCTAAAAGCACATCCCCATCTCCTGCCGTCAATTCCTAAACTTTTCCTTTAATCCGATGGTGAAAGAGCTTCTATCCTTGTCGCGGCGTGTCACCCAATCAACTTTCGCCATTTTCGGAAAGTCGCATTTGCCCATAACCAGTGCTGACGTTACCAAGGCCGAGGCAGCGTTAGGGAGTGTGATTTTCAGTAAATGGGAAGGGCTGGAAAGGCAAAGTAATTTTATGAGTCCATTTATAAATTCTTTAATCAGAGAAGGAGAGACCATGCTCCAAAACCCGAGAGGCACTCATCTCCTGCTGTTGTTCGTTCCTCCTCCTCTCAATCCCTGAAAAGACCCCTTTCTCCCATCTTCTCAATATGAAACTCTGAAAATCAACCCCATCCGCCTCTTCGTCCTCCTGTCCCATGCTTTATTTTCGGGTGCAGTGGTAATGATGAGACTGCATATTATTTGAGATCTCAGTTCCTTTCATTATGTCATTGTTAGATCATGACTGTTAAACTAACTCTTTCGTTTTATTGTTTCTTCTTTTCTCTCCATGCTGGGTCTTTGTTAGAGGCAGGGAGGGGAGCAATGACAATAAGTCGCCGTCTGAATATTGCCGAAAGAATCATCATATGTTGTTACGATTCCATAATAGTTGTTGTGGAACCCTACGTCATATGGTGATTCTTTTGTGCTATATTGACGCGTACATGTTGATCATGCTCCGAAAATGTATACAAGAGGGGAAAGTTGCCATATGTATAGTATAAAAGTGGGAGGAGGGAAAGTACATTGTTTTGTTTTTCAAGATTTGTACTTTTAGTGTTTGAGATCTTATTATATCGGCGAAGGATCTTTCAATCAATAAAAATAATGTAGTTTATTCTTGATTACTGCCTCCATTTTCAGAAGTCTTTTACTATTGGGCCAACAGTATTTTTTCCGGATTTCAAACTCTGCTCCTCTGTCGGCGCATGCTCTTGTCATTTCACGCCTAAAATAATAAAGTGAAATGGAAAAAGGAAAATTTTCATTTCATAATTTTAGTAGCCAAAATTAAATAAATTTATAAACAAGTAAAAAATCCGATATAATAATTCAATAAAAAAAACGAGTGAGAAAAATTATTCAACTGAAATGTTGCACATGATTTATTTAGGGAGCAACCTCCATATCGGATTAAATCAAATCCATCAGAACTAAATAAAACGACACCGTAGAAGGCAGTAGTCTTCTTATAAACCAAAGAGACACATAAATAAAATGACACCGCATAAACCAGTAGTCTTCTTATAAACCAAATAGACACATAAGTAAAACGGCACCGCAGAAGGCAACAGTCTTCTTATAAATCAAACGACGCCGCTTCAAGCTGATAGTGGCAGTCTTCACATAGTCCTAATCCGAATAGGATAAGGACTTCCATCTTCACTTCAAGTTTTCAACACTCCTTAGGATGCTACTTCTGGTAACATGCCTCTTCTGCAAAATCGATAACGACGATTTTAGTCGTACAAAAATATTGGGTGCAACTGCATTGTGTAGACACGAACAATTATATTTTATTCTTACCCTAGGTTGCTCGTAATCGTCGTCATCGTCATTTTCATCATCGGATGGCCCAGACCCAGTACACGTTCTTGCATTATGATTGGTAGAACCGCACTTACTGCAATGCTTTTGCCTTCTCTTCGATACTGTTTCCGACTGATCTTGAGTGGTGGGAGGATCAACATCGGTGTCATCGCCACCGCCACCTTCTTCCGAAACACCATCATTCGGGGCATCACCGTTTGAGGTTGGCTTCACATAGCCAACAGGATGTGGGCATCGGGTCCTATAGTGGCACCATTCACCGCAATTGCTACACTGTCGTGGTTCTCCTTTCTTACTTTTAGATTTTTTAGCCCCCGAACCTTTAGCTTTGACCTGTAATGGATCCAACAAAATTTCATTCGCCTTTGGTCTATTAATGCCGGGTATGTCCACGTTGCCAGTGTCCACCATGTCCAACTTTTCACATAACGATTGAATTCCCTCACGAGCAATCTTGAAGCACTCACTAGATTTTGCCCCTTTTAACATTAGTTGTAAGCTGTTCTGTTGAATAGTACCATACCTGATTGACACAATATTTTATACAAAGTGAGTAAAATTAATGTTCACCTAGCTTCGAACAAATATAAAAAAAAATTAAAAGTCATAGTCATGGCAAACCTCAATGCGAAAAGTTGTGATTCATCTATTATGTCCGGTTCCTCCAAGCTCTCTAGTGTCTTCGGCTTCTTTGACCATCTTCGACGTACTAGGCCTTCAGGAAGTTCCAGTATGGTCTCTTCTTTCAGTATAAAAATCATATGACGGCATGGTATTCCCATATAATCGTAGTGATTACAACTACACTCCATTGCAAAGGGTTCAACTGTGTACGTGACTTGAAAAACCTTATCCATGCCAGACACCTTGACCTTGTACACACGCTCAATTTCCAATCGCTCTGTCTCCAACCTTATGCAACATGACGACTTTTCAACCTCGTCTCTGAATAAGAAGATTGCGTTCTTTGTGAAAACCGCCGCTCCACTCTTCTAAAGTGAGACTAAGACATTGCTTGTGATGGTTCGTTCTCGATGAATGGATTCAAAATCAACATGACACTCATTCTCCCTCATATCCCTAGTCCAAAGATCAAAGTGAATAAAGAACTCAAGGAGATTTTTATCCTTCTCGATATAATTGGCAAGTTGAGAGTTCAGTCCTTCACATCTTGATGTTGTACTCAAGCCTGCGAAGAACTTCGAACGCAAATATGCATACCCCCATTCATGTCTTTGCTCAAATAAATTGGAGACCCAATTGTTGGCTGAAGGGAGCATTCCTCAACCACTGATTTCCACTTTTCTTCGAATTCTGAAGGTTCCCAGTCAGCTGACACAAAATGCTTCCATCGGGGCAAAAAGTAGGATAATTCTTCACATTTCTGGTTATAGTCTTGTCTATATGCCAGGAACATAGACGATGTGTTGCATCGGGAAATACTTTCTGAATAGCATTACGCATTGCTCTATCCCCATATGTAATAACAGTCTTGGGATCTACACCGCCTAGCCTTCTCTTCAAAGCTCCCAACACCCAAATATAATTTTCCTCTTTCTCGTTAGCCAAGAAAGCACATGCAAATACGCAAGTTTGTGAATGGTGGTTGACACCTAAAAAAGTTCAAAATAAGTTAGATTATGCAAACTGCTAGGGTTATTTTAGCATGCTCGGGATAATTCTATGTGTGAAGGAAAAGTACCTGAAAAAATCACGAGAGGCATCTGGTAAATGTTCCTTTTGTAAGTAGCATCGAATGACAGTAATTCTCCAAAGCATGCATAATCAGCAACAGAAATACTATCGGCCCACAAGATGTTAATAAGCTGGTCGTCGTCATCCTTCTTTAGTTCAATAACGAAATGATCGTCCGCGCTGCATTTAGCTTGCACATAGGCTAGGGCTGTTGAGGCATCACCTTCACTGATTTGTTCTTTCCTCTCTTTATCCACATAATTATATGCATCCTTCCTCGTGTACCCCAAATTGTCGTAGCCTCCTGCTTCTGATACGGCCAGATTCACAATTTGAGAAGTTTTCATACCTGCAGCTCTTCTAAAATTTATCGCTGCTTTGACTACATCACTCATACGACGTTTCCCTTTCATGTAGTGTCTATATTCTCCGGGGATCGTTTCATGTGTGTGTACATCATCAAATTGGTGCACATACCACTTCCCATCGACATTGTCTTGTTTAACACGCATCTTGGCTCTGCAGTTAAATCTGGTCCCACCCTCTTGCTTCTCTCTTTCGTTCTATGCTCTTCATGCACCTCTTTCCCTCGCTAGAGCATACATAGTCACACTATATCATAACTTTGTTCTTATCACGACCAATGTCTGATTTTCTGATGTCGAAGCCTTTGACTAACCTGTAGTCCATGTAGAAATCATAGGCTTCTTCTGTATCATCGAACTTCATTTTTTTAATATTTTCATGCTGTAGAAATATGAGATTGGCGACATTATCTTCCTGGGTGGTGTGACTGGCTCCGGCACCAGCGTTTTCTTGGACTGAATCCGACGTCAATAGTAGGACTTCCTCCGACGTCAATGGTGGGTCTACCTTCGACGTCATTGTCACTGCTGGAAATTTTGGGGAACCAAGGATGTAGATGACAAAACCCTACTGGGAACGATGGCCGATTAATGCTTGAATGGGCCACGTAATAATTATCCCCATTAATAACACGATTTGTGATATCTTATATTTTTTGTAGGAACGAGTTGAACTTTCTATTCTTTATCTTAGTGATTTCTTTACCATTTTCAGAAATAACGAAAATATTTAAAATGAAAAACCTTGCTTAGTAAAGCCAAACGCCAGCTGACTCTAGCTGTGTACTACGTGTATGGGGAAGGATCAAATATTAATATGAGCGAATATTTACTAATAGCACTCAATTTTTTATTCAATCGAAAAGAAAGTATATTTTTAATTTTAGGTTTAATAACTACCCATGTTTATCCCAAGTTCATGTACCTTAGACTAAACCCTAACTATTTTTCCGCGGGAAAAATATGGCGCCACATTTTATCCTAACCTTGTATATATAATTAATCTTCAGCGGTAGAGAAGTGGTTCCATATCCTTCTTTGCCGCAATTTTGAGTACAAACTAAAGCTTAGAGGCACAACATGGAAATAGGAGGATTACTCGCTCTTCGTCCAAGCTTGTGGTATGTATAATAGCTCTTTAACCATTGAAATTCATTCTAGTTAATTTATTAATCGTAGTTTCACTGTCATTGAAGGAGACCGCCGAATTTGTGACTCCAACAAAGAAACCAAGGATACCCAAAGGTGTAAGCACTCCACCCACTCCTGCTTCAGTCATCGTTTTTATTTCGGACGATGAATCTGACTCTTAGGTAACACCAAAGAAGCCAAATGGAAAAAGTATTTCTCTAAGTTCTGTTGACAAGGTAATAAAGGTGTCATGTTTGCCATTGAAGTGTTCTTTGTCGTTATTCCGTCAGACATAACAAATGCATTTTGACTCGTGTTTATTTGTGGCCCCTATTCCAGGTTGTTTTGAAGTTTAAGCTACCTACTGCTATGGAATACGATGATGAGCAAATCCAGCTTGCACATTATATATTTTTAGCCAATCTGCCACCTGACGAAGTATTGGTCAAAACCTCAAACAACTCTTGTACCGGGAAATCATTGTGGTCCTTAAGCCCTCGCTCATTCGTAGATTCTGAAGTAATCAACAGAACTCCAAAATTTTGTATTGTTTGCCCACTATTAATGCTTTCTACGTAGAATTATTTTATAACAACTCGATAGTATCATGAAGTGTTTTTTGTCCATGTTATATTAGGTTATAACAGCGGTGGCCTGCCATTTGACTCTAGAAGAGTTGTGGACAAATTCTAAGGACGGAAAAGGAGTGTGCTATCTGCCTGCTGAACTACAGGTTGTGGTCCAATTATGCTTAAGATTAATTTCCTCTCACCAAAAAAAAAAAAAATACAACACCTGTCTTTTTAACGTGAATGATATTGTGTTGACAAAATTTCAATTGTGCAACTACCACATGGGCAGGAACTAGTGATTTCATATGGAATAACACCCAAGAGGGCATTAGACCTATACGAATCAAAATTCCTTAGTCGAATCAATATGGTGAACAAGGAAAAACTGTTCGTCTTAATACGTATTACACGGTTTGCAGTTTATTTTTTAATACGTGTTGACAATTTCCGCATATGTAGGTGTGTGTTCGGATGAGAGATAATGCCCATTGGTACTTGGCTGTCATTAAGTTGGACAAGGAAGAAGTCCATATCTTGGATCCACAACCAAATGAAGACCGCAATTCCTTTCGACTACAATCTGTTCAAACAATGGTAAATTTGTGACATTGTGTCGTTATAACGCAAAAAAATTTAAATACCTCTTTCTAAGTACAAACGTTTCTTAATTTTTACAGATGAGATTTATGCAAGCCTTGTGGAAGATTCTCTATCGTGAACAAGGTTCGGGATTGTCGCCACCAAGGATTGTGGAGTTTTCGTACACAAATCCTTCAAAGGATCAAGAACAACTTCATCGGTAAGTATGCCCATTTTTTTGTGATATTAACCGACGGCTTATCAACTTGGTTCTTATCACGCAATGCTTTCATTTTATGTAGGTCTGAGAGTTGAGTCTGGGTCTGCATGTGGATGTATGGCGCAAGCTGGGACTCCTCTTATATTTGGGTAAAGACAATTCTAGTTCGCATATTAGAAAACCACACTTGATTGTTATTTTTGAATCATGCGTTAAGCACCATGTTTGTTGATGTTGATAGCCATGCACTCAAGTGAGGAGGATGCATATCGCTTTGTACCTTGTTCGAGAGTCCATGAACTACATAAGGCATATGGTGCTCACGGAAGCAAGAACAGTTGCACCTCAAGTTGAAGCTGCAGTGGAAGAGTACAAGAAAGCCCATGAAAGGAGGAAAAAGGAAAGAGAAGAGAACAAGGAAACCCAGTCAAAGAGTCCAAGGACAACCTGATTTTGCGTTTTTTTTTCAAGATGATGGACAACTGTTATGTTTATTTTCCAAGATGATGGACAACCGTATTTGGTTTGGTTTGGTGAATGCTTTCTATATTTGGTTTTTGGTTTGGTGAATGCTTTCTATATTTGTTTTTTGGTTTGGTTTGGTTGGGTTAATTGGTTTGGTTTGTTTTTTCGTGGAAATGGCAAAGGGACTTGACCAAAATTCCAGCTTCCAACTTGTGAGTGAGGTTGCTTCTGTTCAAGCCATTGTATCTTGTAGAGAGGTTTAATTGCGATCATATCATTCCACTTCGTTCCCAATTGCCCTCGTCTAATTAAATTTGCATTCATGTATAGTTAACCCAAAAGGTAAAAGATTGGCTCCCAATCAGCATAATTAATGACCAAACCCCGTACAAGGCAGATAAAAAATTCTTATGTAATTAATTTAATGTTCCTAGGATATGGAAAGGCTTTCATTCCTTGAATTTCCACCAACGATGTTTTCACTCCCCTTTTAGTGAGAGAATTCATTGTATTAATAAATACAATAAAAAGGCATACATAATTAATGGATTCTTTATTGTGTATAATTAAAAGGGTATTTTACTATAAACGAAGCATGATAGATTCACCGGGGGAATAAAAGAAGCATGAGTCTTGATGAAAAAGGGAAAAAAATCACCATAGATCAAAAATCATTATAATCAAGCCATATCCATACTATTCACGCCTATCATCGTCACTATACTTGTGACCAAATATAAATAAAACCATAATTTTTGAAAACCATTAAAAATGAAGATGAAATAAGTAACACATTCTTTGACCTAATTGGAACTACTTAGAACAAAAGCAGATTAAATCCCCCCCCCCCCCAATGAAATTCATTTGCAATTTCATAGGTAGTCCCTACTTCCACTTCTATAATTTTGAGAAAACATTGCAATTTCATCAATAGTCCCCACTCGTGGGCCAATTTCAATTGCAAGCAAATTTGCACCCTTGCAATAGCTTCTCACATCATAGCAATTTAGAGATGCAATTGCACCTCCTTGCCACATCATCTTGCAAGTCACAAAAATTGCACCATTGGAGATGACCATTACTGCATCTCGTCACCTGTCTTAGGGAACTTAGCCATGGCAAATTCACAAAATACTACATGCATAGAAAAATATTGGTCTGGACAATTCAAAAAATGGGAGACTTTCCTAGTCAGATGATGTACTGGCTCCCCTCAGTACCTAAAAGTTTTGAGTGCTGGAGAATTAAGGAAAAGACAAAAGACTGAAAAAAAAACCAACAAAGACTTAGGAAACTTGTTAACAAAAGACATCTATTGCTGGCCCCTTTGCTACTCCAATGCTCCACCCCGCCCTGCATCAATCGACTCTCATGTAAGCCGAGGACGTTTGCTTGAGGAGGCCTCAGGGGTCTCTTGATGCTCCGTATGCCGAAGGTCAATAAAAGTATTGGTCAATCGGCTATACGGTACACCTGCAAATAAGCGCACTGGTCCTCCTTAACATAAACCCCAATATCAATCCCAACCCTTTCAAGAAAGGTGGTCAAGAAGGTGGCATATGGAAAGGCAGTGTACCAGTTTTCCCCTCTAGGAGCAGCCTCAACCATGTTCAGGCACATGAGAGAAGCAAGGTTAATAGGAACACCTCTTTGAGCTTGCACAAGGATAAACAAGTCAAGTTTACGAATAATCGAATGACCACGATACCTTGGCAGGAAGCAGTTGACGATCAACCAGTGGAGGAATCGAAGAGGATCTGGGAGGAAAGAAGCCTGGATGCGCCCCTTCGTGAGTTTCGCCAGTTCAACTTCAAACTCAAAATCGTACAGCCTCCCAAGATCGCTTTTGCTCTCAATGGGGTGTCCTCCGGCGGGGAGATCGAGGATCTTAGCAAACTGATAAGGCTGGAAGCAGACTCTATGTCCCAGGAAGATCGACACGAGATGAGAATCACAGAGACCAGAAAGCTCTGAATTGTGGTAGAACATCCTCACTACATAGGGGCAGTAACTGGTGCTTCCTCGACTCCGGAGATCAAAGAACTTTTCCCAGCCAAGATTTTTTATTAACTTCTTCACTTCTTGAGGGAAAGGACTTAGGTGGATGAACTCGTACTCGGCCACAATTGTTGTTTTGCTTGTATATGAAAGATAATCACCGAGATTTGCGGTGGATCGACAGTCTTCATTTGATAGAGATAGTATCCCCATTTCCGCAAACGATTTACCTTTGTTTGCCATGGAGTATGGAGGAAGAAGGAACAAGGGAAGGTGAAGATGGAGGAAATAGAGAATGTAGGTGTAAGAAAAAGTGATCGTGGGGGTTGAGTCTGGAGACGTGAGTGTGATGGTGACGGTTGAGTCTGGAATGTCAAGAGTTAGAAGATTTCGGAAGATATGTAATGATGATGGTAACTCGTATAGGTTAAACTAGGGTAAGTAAAGCTAGTTAAACTAGGGTTGGCGCACGAATTGATACGGCAGGAGAAATGGAATGGGCTCGCACGTTCCAGGCCCACTTTTGAATATTGCATGGATCATGTACAAGCCCACGTTTGAATGTTATTTAAAAGCCTGCAAAAATCAATTATCAGACCCAGTCCAACTAGAATTAGTCCTAAATGCACCGTTAATACATAAACACAAATTAAGGAGACCTCTCCATCTGATTCGAATCAAATTCTGTCTTCTTCATCTCCTTCCTCAATCCTCTGGGCGAGACGAACACTACATATAAGGAAACCTTAATTTCACCGAGTGATAGAAGTTTTGAGAAAATGACAATAACGCTAAGACAAGATGACAAAGCACTAGCGACATGAACCCTAGGGTTAGCAAACCTCTTTCAAGGGTTCTTTTGCAAATGAAAAGTTTGATGAACACAATAATAGACATGGATCATGTACAAGCCCATGTTTGAATGTTATTTAAATGCCTGCAAAAATCAATGATCAGACCCAGTCCAACTAGAATTAGTCCTAAATACACCGTTAATACATAAACACAAATTAAGGAGACCTCTCCATCCGATTCGAATCAAATTCTGTCTTCTTCATCTCCTTCCTCAATCCTCTGGGCGAGACGAACACGACATATAAGGAAACCTTAATTTCACCGAGTGATAGAAGTTTCGAGAAAATGACAATAACGCTAAGACAAGATGACAAAGCACTAGCGACATGAACCCTAGGGTTAGCAAACCTCTTTCAAGGGTTCTTTTGCAAATGAAAAGTTTGATGAACACAATAATAGACATGGTCGCCGTAATCGTGTTAGAAAGAGATAGGCGAGGGGAAATAAAAGGGCGAAGAACAAACTAGACAAAATAAATTGGGAATTCAATCAACGTCGAATGTGGATGCAAGTAATTGGGATTCAAAAAGATGATTAAGTTGGGGAGTTCAAATTGGATGGGGAGCTTCTCTTGGAACTGTGAAGGGGCATCCCTCCAAGACGAGAGAGGGATCGTGTAATTGGTTAGGGAGACTGGAAATTGGTTAGGGCGGCAGTTGGTCTACCCAATTGGGTTATTTAATTTAATCGGGCCAGTTAGAAGTTTCTAATGTGCTTATCCACAACCATATGCTCAAATTGACGAACCAAATAATTAGCAAACCCGTCTCTTAACCTCTTAGCTTGAAAACGTGTAATTAGACCTTCATGTGGTGTTGTGGGTTTGGTCTTGATGGCCTTATGACATAATTTTCACAATGACTATTATACATATTCATTGTTTTTACACTAGGTCAACTCAACTAATAAAAATTAATCACAATCCTAGATTCATATTGGTTGGACACTAGTGTTGTAACTCTAACAACAAAATAGGTGTTGCCACCATATTCTCTCCCATGACAAAACGGGGAGAAATACCTTAGATACCACTTAACTTTTATAGTATGAGGATGGGTACCATTGAAGGAAAAATAGGACACCAAATATCATGAAAGTCTATAAATTGTGCATTCGTCCAAATTTTCATCCAATTGACGGTGCAACCAGAAGCCGTCGATCTAGTTTGACAGCTTGAGAATGTCCAAGACTTTGTCGACTCCTCTCTAGAGTCCGATGGAATCGCCACCAGGTTCTTGCCACTCTTCTTTTCATTATAGAATTTACTTTCCACGCCATATGATTCCGGGTATATGATCTTCCATCGTGAGTCATGACTAGAACGAGTGGTAGAATTATCAGAGCAACTAATTCGTGTGGATCCTGGATGAGAGAAATTGTCTTCAAGCCAAAGTCTATCTTCGCAACGAGGTAACCGAATCAATCAATTTTTCCATACTCTTTTCCTAAAACTTATGTTCGTTTTAGGAATTCGAGCTTTGCAAGTGTAGTTTGATTAGGGTTTGTTCCAATAGCTTGTATGATTACATTGCGAAAGATAAGACACAATTTGGAGTTAGCTTGGGCTTATTCATCAATTGCTTGCGTACACTTAATGTTCACAAGGCCAAATGATTGATTTACCCATTCAAAGCAATTTGTGCGAAGGGCTTTCTTTAACAAAAATATATCATTTCTTGCTATGGGGACCGAAAAGGGGTTGTGGATACAGTTGTACGAACATCAAATGTTGGATATCTTACGCGCAGACTTGTTGAAGTCGTTCAACACATTGTTGTACGTAGAATAAATTGGGGTACTACCCGAGGGATCTCTGTGAGTCCTCAAAATGGGATGATATCGGAAAGAATTTTTATCCAAACTTTAATTGGTTGTATATTAGCGGATAATTTATATATGGGCCAACGATGCATTGCTATTAGAAATCAAGATATTGGAGTTGGACTCGTTAATCAATTCATAACCTTCCGAACACATGCAACTTCTTGTCGAGTACGTATCTCCATCTCTGTTTTCGATTAGCGTTTCTAGCATTTCTTTGTCTATACTCTATTGTGAAGAAAAAAGAGTGGTGGGAACCCGATGACTCTTCCAACAGACCATAGAGAGAGAGTCGACCATGCCTTGGACGTTCTCGAGTTGACAAACCAGATGGGAGGTAAAAAAAAGGGAGTTGATAAAGGTCGTCCTAAATGACAACAAAGTTACATTTTTAACCTTTTGACATCTTTACATTTTCTTTAGTAAACAAACATCACTTTGACTAAAAAAACGAAAAACATTCAATCTCCAATACTCCCGAATTCATCGTTGACATTCTGAAGTCGTAATCGTCGAGAATATGTTTGAATCATGAGGGGCGATTCCGACAAGGTAAAAATAAAATAAAAAATTCTAAACGCCACAACCGAATCCAATTTTAGGTTGCACCATGGCTCAACCGAGCCAATTTTTGGTTGTACCATGGACCAACCGAAAATTACCTTCGGTTTCACCATGGCTCAACCGAATCCAATTTTTGGTTGAGCCATGGTGCAACCGAAAATTGGCTTCAGTTGAGGTATTTTTGGGATTTTTTTGGTTTTTTTGCTTTATATCAATAATTTTCTATTCTTTTGCAACGATTTATGGTTCGGTCCATAAGATAATTTGTTGAATTTTGGCTTATATTTTTTCTAGATTTATGTAAGGGGGAGCCGTTGTTTGTTTTGTGTTTGATTTTGAAATTGAAAATGGGCAATTCAGTAAATTACGTATTAAGTATTAAGTTAGGACGATTGTTAATAATTTTTACTACTACTTTAATCATTCAGTAAAAAAAATAACTTACGAATAACCCGGTGATATTCAGCTGCCTGCCTCCAAGCCCTTTTTCCCCTTTTTCTTTTAATTTCAAAATGTTAATGAAGGACAGTTTATTTAATAAACAAATAAACCAATCCTAATCTGCCATGTAAGCAGGTTGAAAGGACAGGGTACAACCTAGGTTGGAGCTAAAAATTGCTCCTGCAACTGGGTCAGCCTAAGCCTCCCTAAATAGGCAGCGAGGGTGTTATTACTTATCAGAGGAAGCAAAGAGAATAGAGGATTGAAAGTCGCCTGTGATTGCAGAGATCAGGAAAAGAGGAAAACGAAGGGGAAGGGGAAAAGGAATAGAGAAAAGATGGGGAAGCAACCCGTGAGGATGAAGGCTGTGATTTACGCGCTCTCCCCTTTCCAGCAGAAGACGGTTTCCGGTCTCTGGAACGATCTCCCTTCCAAGATCCACCACAAGGTTTCCGAGAACTGGCTCAGCGCAACCCTCCTTCTCGCTCCCGTCGTCGGCGTCTACTCGTATTACCTCTCCCTTATTTCCACTTTCCGATTCCTTCTTGTTTCGTTGCGCTGATGTTTCTTAGAAACCCTAGTTCTTGCTTGATGCCGACAATTATTTTTATTATGAATGGCTGGGTAAGCTTCGTCGAGATTGAATCAAATGCCGCTGGAATCCCCTAAGTTTCCAGATTTCCAGATCCCCTTTAAGGTTTCTTGTGTGTAGCGTGGGTTTTGAATGCTATATGGTGTCTTTTCGTGGGTCAAGGTTTCTTGTGGGTGTTAGTGATAGAGAACCTATGATATGAATCATGATTCAGGGCCCACATTTACCTTGCCCTAGGTTTCATAACTTTTTGGCTCTCTTGAATCAGTTCTCCAACCTTGTCTTTTCGTACTTTGTGTGGTCGTAGCTGTGTTATATGTTTGCGATTATCTATAATGAGTGGGTTTTGTGTGCTCATATACACCTCTTGTCATTCACTGTTCGTCCTTGTCCTGATGCCTTCTTCGAACAGAATGGTTCCCGTATAGAAACTTCCAACTCATGTTAATTGCGGAACATACTTCATCTTCATATGTAATCAAGCCAGCTATCATATTGGCTATCTTGATTCATTGAATTGAGTACGATGAATTTTCTTTTTCTGGGAATTATGAGCTCTTTCTGTACCCTTTAGTTGGAAGAGTTATGCGCAGGGGTTCCTGCATCAGAGGCTAATTCAACTAGCCTATTAGATTGTCAGGAATGAATGCTAGTTTGCAGTATGCACAAAAAACTGCAGATTGTGAATGCTCTTATGTATTTCCTTGTGGTTTCCAACTATTTCGGTTTCAGTTGTCTATGGCAGCGAGTTTCCGAGATAATTTATACAGTTTTTCCCATCTTAAAAGAATGAAAATTGTGCTGCAAGAGTGAATACTTTTAGAGTTTAAATGAAAGAACTTGCTGAAGTCTTTCCTGATCTGTATATGAGGAATTTTCTTCCTTCCCCCTCCTCTCGAACAGAAGCAGAATAATCTGTTCTTTTGTCCACTGAATCATACATAACATACCTAGTGGGTTACCCCCCTTCCTCTCCTAATAGGCTTTATAGCTTCTGTACACCGTCACTTCTTTCCCTCAAGTTTCCCATGCTGCCTTCTGTGTACATACAAGTGATGAACTGCTTAATTCCCTGTTGTGTGGTTAGCAACTGTTTGTTCATGTTATGAGTAAGACAATACTGGTAGCAAAATGAAATACATACCAAGTACTAGGTGCACACTGCTCTCGATGTGGTAACAGCTCCTTTTCTTACCATGTTCTTCTTTTCTTTCATGTTTGTTAACAGGTATGTACAGCACTACCAGGAAAAAGAGAAGTTGGAGCACAGGTACTGAGCTCATGCATGTGGTGGAAAAGACCTTTCAAGTTTTCACCTTTGCCAAATAATTTTCCATGAGGAGAAAACTGTGCTTGCAGTTGTTGAAAACCTTTTTTCTTTATATGGATTATTACGCTAATGTTTAGCCATCTTTTTGGTATATTTTGCCTTTGAATTGCCGGTGTGGCAGGGATGGTGCTATTTTAGCTATAAAACTGTAGTGGAAGTTGTCTCTGAATTTGATTGGAAATCAAATAAATGGTTTGATATGGGGTGCTAGTCTGAAAATTGTGAAGCAAGACTTGTTTATTAGGATAAACTTTTGAAACCTCGAAACAGGGTTCCATAGGATCTTCAACATATTTCTTTTTCATTGTGTTTGTGGTTTTGCTGACCGTTGTCATTGATGGCCACAAAAGTTGATTTTGCTTGATTCTGGTTTCTGGCCTTGGCAATGCATAAACAATCAAACACAAGGAATTAGATGACCAGCTAAGATGGGTGTGGTGCCCAGAATCTCGTCTGGTGGCAATTGGATCGGATTTGTGGATTGGATTGGTGGATCCATGGATCCAATGGATTGGTGGATTGATCCATAAATCCAAATGACATCCAAGGCTTGGACCAAAATGTAAAACTTGAAAAGTTTAGGTACTAAAACGTCGTAATGAAAAATTTTAGATACCAAAATGTAATTTTCCAATGATATTTTTCGTATAAAAATATAACTTTTAGGTACCAAAATGTAAAATATAAAAAATATAGGTACCAAATCGTAATTTGCCATTTTGAGTCCATAGATTGATCCATGAATCCACCAATCCAATTGGATTTGGATCAAATGGATTGGATTAGGTGGATAATTTGGTGGATGGATTGAATTGGATTCATGGATTTGGAACCTTTCGATTTTATGGAGTCCGTCCGATTATGGAGCAAACCTCCCAGACAGCCTTTAGATTCATAATGTCATCTTTATGTTGTTCAATAGGCTAATCAAGCTTCTCAACCAAGAGCTAAAACCCCGAAAATAACAGTGAATGCCATTCCATCTGGCATCTATAAGTTTCTATACTAGCTTCAGGGATTTTTTTTTTTTTTGTGAACTACCATCTTCTATTTACAAGCTTTGATTAAAAGATAAAAATCCTCTCAAACACATGGTAAAACCTAGAAGAGAAAAAAATGGTCGATAATACTGTCGGACATCAAGGGAGTTACATCCTCCTTTGTATGATATCCATCTTGTCGTCGTATGTGCTTAACTGGATGGAAAGAAACCTGGCCTCGCCATTGAATGGACTACTGTTTCTGGCGTTCTTGATGAACATGTTCATGCCATCATACAAAAGGCTTACATGACATCAAATGATGAAGAATTTCATACCAAATGAAAGCTTGCAGTAGCTATCCCCAATATGAAAACCTATTGTCAAATGAAAGCAAGTGCAGAGAAGCCATCAGGGAGACAAAATATTTAAGCCAACGTGCATTGAAAATACGGCAAAAGCAGCACTTGAGAAACAGAGTAAATAAATAATAGTAGAAGACTATCCACATTAAGCCATGCTCAAAACACAGGATAAAAGGATGCCAATGTCTCTTTCAAGGTAAAACTATGACCAAAGACAGGAGAGGACTAATTTCAGGAAAATTTAGGCTCACATACCAATTCCCAAGAAGATATATCTGCGATCAGTTGTTGCAGCCTTCCTTCACATTGCATTCTTTACATCTGGATATCGGCACAATAACATTTTGAAGGTGCTAAAGAAAACGATGATTTAGCACTTATCATCAGTTTAGACCATCAATATTTTCCAACTTTCAGTTAACGTCAGATAATCATCTTTAAAAGGTAAACTTTCAGTTAACGTCAGATAATCATCTTTAAAAGGTGGGAGAATCAGATCATAATTACAAACTGGATAAATGGCTGTAGAAAAAGTTCTGAGCGCACAACTCTAGAAAAAAACCAGAAAAAGCAGAAGGATTTATTTCTGATACGGTTCCAGGACAACAATTTCTGAATAATGCAAACCAGTCAAAAGCGCGATTCTACCTAGAAGTGGAAAAGGGATAAAATCGTAAAGCGTAAAATCAAAGCGTAAAAGCGTAAGTTTTTGACACATACTGAAAAATAACTAAAAAACTATTAAGTAGGACATATGCTATGCAAAATATGAATGCACAGATAAGTTAATAAATACATGCGATTCATGCCTAAAGTAGGACAACTTATAGTATATTAATAATAAGTTCGTAAACATAAATTTTAACAATAAGCCACTTTTCCCTCTATGCTAATGAATTTGGGAAAATCCTAGCTGGTGAATTATATTACTCTATTGAAGTTGAAAATGCATCCAAGTACCTTATATGTATCTTCTAATCTCAAATGTATCATATTGTTGGTGATTTACTTTTAAAATATATTTTTTATAATTAATTTCATGAAAAGAATACTCATTTAGTGAACTAAAAGCGTAAAAACGTAAAGCGTTTTGGTGAATTAGAAGCGTAAAACCGTTAGCTTTTAAGCTTTAAAGTGCAATTAGTCCGATTTTATACACTTAAGTTTTTATATGGAAACGAAAGCGTTTTGGTGACCTAAAAGCGTAAAATCGTAAGTTTTTAAGTTTAAAGCGCGATTTTGACTGCATTGGAAGTATGAACACAGGCACCTTTTCTGGCACTCTTTGTAGTCAGAACTCAAGAACACTTCCTGCAGGGAACAAAGGAGAAAAATTAAACACTGACGGTCCTGGACCATCTCACGCTCCACCCCAATGAGAAATATGTCATAAAACAGCAAAGGGGGTATCACAAATAGAGAAGACAATTCAAAGGCATAGAAGCACCAACAATTTGTGCTTTAAAAGCAAAAGCATATATAACAGGATCTACAAAACAAAGGTCCATATGACAAATTATTTCCTAGACACCCTTTAATTGAAATATCTGGGTCAGAAAAGGCATGAGTGCAACATGATGGTTTCATTTGACCTTTCTTTGACAGCCAACGACATAGTAAGACATGTAATATCTGCTACTAACTGTAAAGTAAAGAAAAAAAGTCATGGCATCTAGCTTAATCTTAAACATAGTTCTTGAGACAGGTGCGGTAAAAAAAATCCCCCAAGTGAAAACATGCATTGTAGTACTTTTTCTTACTCAAACAATTATATTCTGAATGCTATAAAAGCAAAAGTGCATTGCCAATTTACAAGAATCAGGTCACCAGCTGCAAGACCTGTCTTCTTCATCGCAATTATTCATCAGAGTGCTGCTATAGTTGAATCAGCGCAATCAAGGGCAGTAGGGCACCATTCATTTTCGGGATCACATGGAGTGATAGGTTACAGAGTCCAGCTTGCAATTCAGCCCATGCGATGAGTGAATTAACCACATCTCTAATCCCTTCAACTACTGGAAAAAATAGACTCCAACAAGCTTAATTGGTTTGAAGAGAATGATGGCACCTTCTTCCTGACCAATGTCATGACCATCCTAGCCTTGTCAATCTTCTCATTCTTCTTTAAGGCAATAAGTAGCGCAGAAATAGAGTCTACGCTCAAGAACCAGTTCTTTCTCATACAGGCAGTACACATCTTATATGCCAAATCAAGCTCCCCACCCTCACACAAATAATGCACCATTGTCTGGTATATTTTAACATTGGGCTTAAACCCCCTTCCATGCAATGCAGAATATACCCTTTTTGCCATCTCAGGATATCCAGCCTGGAAAAAACCTTTGATAACTAAGTTATAAGTAATCTCATCTGGTATGACCCCAACTCTTTCCATTGAAAGAATAAGATCATTTGCTTTCCATGCTTGTCTTCTGTTCACCAAATACTGTATCCTAACATTAAAAGTTGCAAGATTTGGTAAGCAACCCTTAAGTACCATAAGGTTCCACAAACCGTTACTGATTTCTAACCTGTTCTTTCTGTAAAATGCTGCAATAAGTGTAGTGTATGTGATAACATCTGCCCTTATTCCCAACTTTTCCATCTGCACCATGATTGAAAATGCCTTGTCCAAAATCTCCATTTCACAAAAGGCCTTAATGACAATGTTCATTGAATATGTATCTAATTCTATATCATACTTCTCAGGAACCTCAATCAGAAATGTTTCGATTGCTGCTATGTCCCGGGCTCCTGCCAAAACTTTAAGTGCAGCATTGAAAGACTTGGCAGTCCTTCTACACTTATAAAAATGCATATCATAAAAGGTATTGATAGCATGCTTAGCCATCCCAGCCTTCCCATACAACATTATTATCCTTACGATGAACCCTTCACGTCGCCCTTGTGGAAGGGACTTTTGTTGCTCAAGCAACTCCTCAATGTAATCAAATCGTCGAGCACCAGCTAAGCGAGAAACAGTGTCTTCAAATGCAAACCGATTCTCAATGACAAGCCTATTTCTAGCATTGGCCTTGAAAAGATCAAATAGCTTTTCAGGATCTCTCTCAGCCTTAAGCTTAACAAGAGCAGGTTCCTCCAATGGTTTTTGCTTCATGATGGGATAAGATACAGCAGTACAGTTTCCAGTTGAGGCAACAGCAGCAGAGTAATGGAAAAATCTGCGAACAGATCTCAGTGAGAGCATGTTCTGGATTGTTCTTCAAGTAGATTCATATCCATGCAAGCTCAACGTTCTAAGGATCAGTGCCAGAAACTCTTCAGTAGGCATTTAAGAAACAAAAATCTGGAAGACATACAAGCCAAATCAATTACCATCGAGACTCCATCAAACTAATGCATGACCATCTATGAAGCATCATCTCCAACATAGTATTAACGATAGTTTGATCAAGAAAGAGGGAGATAAAACAGCAAACGAGAAACAACTGTATCCAGAAGCACCAACACCAGCTAAAGTATCAATGTGTCAGCCATTCAGAGGAAGTGCTTTAAATAAAACAAATCACAAGCAAGTACATCCCAGACAAGGTGTTCAAATTCCATATTGAGCAGAAGACAAGCTCGTTTAAACAGATGACAAACTATACTAGATCTAAATCACAAAAAGGACAATGTGTACTGAAAGCAAGCATCGTCTCAAGGATGTGGTCTCGCAGGTATACGCACCGAGGAGATCAGCCATCCTCACAAGAAATAGGGTTGCATAGAGATATCAGTTTCACCCACCCATAAGAAATTTTCTGCCGAAACATGAATATACTCCCGAAAGACAACAGATTGGTTCTAAGCATGGCTTCATCATCATCTAGCCATCAAGTGCGTTCACTGCAATCCCTCACCAGGAGCTCCAAATTGAGCATAACAGTGAACCCACTACTTCAAAGGACAAGCAGAAAACGCAAAACAGAAAGAAAAACGAACAGCAAAATACAAACCAAGCAAATGCGGAGAGTTCCACATATAAAAAAGACGATTACACGCGAAAGCAAGCAAAGATTTAGGGATTACCTCTTGGAGAGAAGACTAGGGGTTACTCAATAAGAAGAAAATAGCCGACGAATTTCCAGGTGTTGCATTAGACCCAACAGCAGAAGACGTCGGCGACTCGTTGGGAGGTCAGGCAAGAGAACGGCCCGGAGAAGACAATGGCTACAAATGCGGAAAAGTGCGTTTTAGGAAGAACAAGGCGGGGAATGTAATGAATTTGCCGAGGAGAAAAGGGGTTTGGATTAACAGAAGGAGGAGGAAGGATGAAGGAATGAATGAATGAATGAGAGTAGGCCAACTCGTCATTCATCAATTTGATGGATGCAAGAACAGCCAGCAAAGCCCGAGAAGCAAAACTCTAGTAGAAGAGAGTTTTTTCTTTTTCTCTTCTTTCTTGGACAAGATTTAATAGGGCTGTTAATGAGCCGAGTCGAGCCGAGCTTTGCCATAGTTCGGGCTCGGCTCGTTAATATATTTCCAGGCTCGAGCTCGGCTCGTGTTCGTCACGAGTTTTAATATGCAAGCTCGAGCTCGGCTCGTTTATGAAAATGAAAGCTCGAGCTCGGCTCGAGCTCGGCTCGTCAAATAAGCTTAACGAGCCCAAAATCAAGTTCAGCTCATAAAATGTTCATGATAGCTCAAGATTGACCTAGAACTATGCACAAAATTACATTTAAATCTGTAGCAAAGTAAAACACAATATTTATCCCAATTTCAATACATAAAATCCATGAATTCTAATTCTTTTTTTTTTATGCCAAACCATTAAATGAGCTTGTTCGCGAGCTTTCGAGCTGAACATGGTATGGCTCGAGTTCGGCTCGTTTAGTTAACGAGCTTGTTCGCGAGCCGGCTCGATTAAAACGAATCGAGTATCAAACGAGTTTTTCTCGAATCGCACACCGAGCCGTTCATGAGCGGCTTGGTTCATTAACAGCCCTAGACAAGAACCTGCACAGAGAGTCCCGACTCTGGAGTCTCAGCTCAATAGGGTTTTGGGTAATTAGCATGAAAGGTCACAAACCTATTCACTTAGTATGAAATGGTCACAAACCTTTCATTTTGCACTTTTCAGTAATATATCTTTGAGAAAATAATGAAATGCAAGAACAGCCAGCAAAGCCCGAGAAGCAAAACTCTAGTAGAAGAGAGTTTTTTCTTTTTCTCTTCTTTCTTGGACAAGAACCTGCACAGAGAGTCCCGACTCTGGAGTCTCAGCTCAATAGGGTTTTGGGTAATTAGCATGAAAGGTCACAAACCTATTCACTTAGTATGAAATGGTCACAAACCTTTCATTTTGCACTTTTCAGTAATATATCTTTGAGAAAATAATGAAATACAAGAACAGCCAGCAAAGCCCGAGAAGCAAAACTCTAGTAGAAGAGAGTTTTTTCTTTTTCTCTTCTTTCTTGGACAAGAACCTGCACAGAGAGTCCCGACTCTGGAGTCTCAGCTCAATAGGGTTTTGGGTAATTAGCATGAAAGGTCACAAACCTATTCACTTAGTATGAAATGGTCACAAACCTTTCATTTTGCACGTTTCAGTAATATATCTTTGAGAAAATAATGAAATGGTCATTCCGTCCATCTCCATCCAAAAAAACCGTTAGTTTCGTCTAGTCATCATGTCATGTCACAGAAAATATTAATAAAAAATTTAATGGCCAAATTCAATTGAACCGGACAACCCAACCAAAAACCCTAATTTTATACCACCCGTCCTCAGGAATCTCCAGTCACCGATAGTTTCTCCGGTAGCGTCGCTGACCGAAACAAACGGAGGTTCGCTTCCCTGGTCGGGTCGCCGCCCTGAAGCAAACTCCCCCTATTTCCCCTGCTCACGTCGTCGTTCTGAAAGGCGATTGGGGTCGCCGCTGAACCAGATGAACGGTGTTGTTCATAAACTAATCATCGAGTAATCCCCAATCGTCATCAGGATGACGGTCGCTAGCTGTAGTCATCGGATCGGAATCGTCGGTGTCAGTGTCAATGATTGCGACGACATTATTCCAGGCTCTCTTCGATCCTACCATTCCAGACTTGACGACTGCCATTTTCTGATCGCCGGTGGCGGAGGTCCTATCGGCCACGACCTTCCCGCAAACGGAACAAGATCTGTAATTTCTTTTGTTGCGTTACGTATCATCACGGTGGGCAATTGGAAAAGAAAAAAAGGAAGCGTAGAGGCCAAAGGGAGATTGTTTTAGGCGCTTACATGAATTCCCCTTTGCGCAGTGTTGAGCAAAGCCCTTCACCAGAGCATATTCAGGTCCAAGATTGATTGATTGATGGGTGCTGTTGTGGGAGAGTCGGGGAAGCGATCGACGTGGGGACTTCGGTTCAGGCCGCCGACGCTGGCAGAGGAGCGTCGAGATCTTTTTTTCAAGGAAAGAGTCTCCATTATTTTGGGTGGTATAACATTAGGGTTTTTTTTGGGTTGTCCGGTTCAATTGGGTTTGGTCACTGATTTTTTTATTAATAGTTTAAGTGACATGGCGTGCTGACTGGACAAAACTAACGGTTTTTTGGATGGAGATGGATGGAATGACCATTTCGTTATTCTCTCAAACGTATGTTACTGAAACGTGCAAAATAAAAGATTTGTGACCGTTTCGTACAAAATGAATAGGTTTGTGACCGTTTCGTACAAAGTGAATAGGTTTGTGACCTTTTATGCTAATTACCCGGGTTTTGGGTGCCGAGACGGCGTCGTTTGTTATGTCGTTCTTGGCTTAGCGCTTAACTTTCCAAATTTCTGAATCGCTAAATGTTGGCCTTAAAATTGCTAACGGTCGCTCTAACTCTAATGATAAATGACTTATATATCCCCAATAAAATTTCAAAATTTAAACAAACCAAACAATCCCTAACTCCTCAAACTGAACCCCTCATCTGTCTTCTTCGCGAATCCCTCTCGACACACCAGTCCGCCAGTGCCTTTCCCGCCGTCGTCGTCGCCCGTTCTCTACCGAAATTTTCAAAAAAACGCTCAACCTAGGGCAAGTTATGGTTGGTCCATGGTGCAACCACAAGTGAGCTGCAGTTGGCCCATGGTGCAACCGCAAGTGAGCTACGGTTCCCTTTTTTCATTTTTGGAGTGAACTTTACCGATACAAAGTCGCTAGTCATGATCCAGACATCATATCGACTATTCCAACTCCAGAATGACGACGATGGATTCTCTGTTTTGAATAATGGTTTTTTTTAGGGAAAATCTTTTGAATAATGATTTATTTTCTTTACTAAGTGGTGTTTGTTTGCTAAAAGAAAAGTAAAGAAGCTAAAAGGTTAAATTTGTAACTTTGATGTTTTTATGGTAACATTTAGCAATTTTAAGGGCGACCTTTAGCAACTCCCTTCTATTTTGGCTAATACCAAGTTTGTTAAACTGATTTATACAATAATGCTGGTTTTGTTAGTGGAATAGTTCGACCAAAATGCAACCGGTTTCAATTTATGCCTGGTTTAAAAGAAAAGGTAAAAGTTTGAGAAATCATAAGTTGGTAAGTAGTACTATATGAAAATGCAAAGAGCCCGTTGACAACAAATTATGACAGGTGTACAACCTTCTGCTGCAGAAAACGTTTTTAATTTAGTGCAATATACTGAAGAAATTGAAACATAGATTCAACCAATCTCTGATAAACCAAATCAAAGTCAATCATTCGGCCAATTTCTACAACACCAACAAAACAAATTTACTAAATTGAGCCGAGTGAGCGCATCTTATCATTCTGCTAATCTCCATATCAGGCTATCTCCAGAGGGATTGAAGAAACCTCGCAGCGGCGGCGGTGATGAGTCCCTCTATGTTATCCGTCACTACTTCATTTTCCTCTTTTACCTCAACGTCGATGTTGTTCTCTCCTTGCATCAACCCTTCGCCCGCCCGACGATCTGTCTCTGCTTCTCTAGATTGGGATTGGAGCGGTGAGCCTCTGTCAATATGCAGGATGGATAGATTTTCTAGGGTCCACGAAGTCGAAGAGGAAGGGTAAAAGGAAGAGCCAAAAAAATGAAGTCGCAATTCAGATTCGCGAAAAACCATCCGAAGTCCGTACCAACTTTTCCCAGAGTTTGGCAGCAAAACGACGCTGTATATATTCGAGGATCGGAAAACCTGTCATTTCGGTTGGACCACCCGTAATTCCGGCTTTGACCATAGCTTAATATCTGTTTTCCGGCGAGGAAAATTTTGTGTTTGATTTCAATCAATGTACATTTGACTTCTTGAACAACGATTCTAAAAACAATTCACACCTCTCCGAACAATCTTCGAACGAGGGCGTTTGATGTTTTTTTTATGGTTTTTGGAACAATCTACGTTAAATTACTCCTACTCTTATAGAGGTTCAGTGAGAGCTCCAAAAACAATGACTAATTTGCAGAGAAAGGATAAAAGTTTGACATTGTGGGTCAAATGAATGGTTGTGGAACCCTTACTTCATTTTCGCTTCTCCTATTTATAGCCATCTCTTGTAACCGTCGTGTAACCGTCTCTTGCTAACCGCTTCTCTTTTGCTTGGTGCTTGATGTAGCTTGCTTGACGCCTTGACTGTCTTACGTGCTTGCCACTTGATACCTTTCACCTTGATGGCTTCACTTGATAGTTATCCCCTTGTGCCATGGAGGTGTCTTGCTTGGTGAGTGAGAGCTTCAAGCTTGGTGGTACTCATGCTAACCACCCTCGACACTAGGGTGCTTGGGGGGGGGGGGGGTCTGATAGATGCACACTGACCCCCTTGGGGTGGCATCATGTTTGCAGGGTCTTGACAAGGCGGTCTACCATGTAATGATATACATTGCTGGCATAACTACTCATTAGGCATAACATGGGTGCTACTTGTTGATGATTTCCTTACACGACACCATGCTTGACACCCTAGCACACTGTAGATAGTAGCCATGGTGTTTAGTTCTTGACCCCCCTTGGATGATGTCATGTTTGACCCCCTTTGTGGTTAGATCTCAACACTTAGCCAAAATTTCACATTCTTTTGCCGCCACATGCTCGATACCCCCGAGTGAAAGGTAGGTAGGCAGCATGGTGTTTGACCCCACTTGCATGACATCATGTTTGACCCCCTGGGATGATGTCATGTTTGACCCTCCTAGCGGTTAGGTCTCAACACTTAGCCATATTTTGCTTTTCTTTGCCCCCACGTTCTAGGGACTTGCGTTGCCCTTCTTCCCTTGCCACGTCTAGAGGTAGTTGATATCACCCTCCTTGCACGACATCATGTTTGATACCCGAGTGCATGACATCATGCTTGACCCCCCTTGTGGTTGGTTATGAACACTTAGCCAATTTTTGTCTTCTTTGCCCATCACGTCTAAGGGTACTCTCCATGGCCCCCCTTGCGGGGGCATCATGCTTGATACCCTAATGTAAGGTAGGTAGGCGGCTATGGTACTTGGTGCTTGACCCCCTTTGCATGACATCATGCTTGACCCTCCTTGGATGATGTCATGCTTGACCCACTTGTGGTTGGGTTTTCATACTAAGTTAAATTTCGCCCCCACCATGCCGACTTGGGTGGTTGATGTTGAAGGGTGTCAACGCTTTGCACTTGACCACTCTTGCATGACAGGTGGGTGTTTGGAGGGGTCAAGTGGTGTGTGTTCAGGTACTTGTATGAAGCCCAAATATCATAATTTATTTGTTAAAACTCCTTAAACTTTCTTTATAATGCTTTTGGTCCTCCGGAGTTCTTCAATGCTTGATCCAATCTTCCTTAGGTTTCTTTGTACCATCAAAAGTATACCAAGAAGGAATCAAATAGTACAAGAACGTTTCCTAAGTCTATTATAAGTTCATTGATAAAATAGTTGGAATTTAGATAAGAAATACCATTTGAAAGAGCTAAAGATGCTTCAATAGAAGGGGAAAATATATCAAATATGAGAGTGCAAACACTATAAATAAAGTTTCATAAGAAATACCCTACACTTAAACTTTGCTTTTCCCTAAGCAAACACTACTGATAATCGTACAACTCAATGAACCCTAGGCATCATCACTCAACCTCGATCTTAGGTAGTGGATCATAAGTAACTTACAAGGTCGACATTAGCATAAGAGACTCCTAACACATCATATCCTAGGATATCATAAGATATAATCCGTACATTAACAACCAAATCATGCATCAGAGTCTCAAAACGTAAGGCTAAAGCTTTTGATGAACATTGAAGCTTTCTACTTTGAATGCTTTTCTACAATCTTCTTGACATTCCATAAATGCATTTTGCCTTTCTCAAACTCAGACTCTTTTTTTAGGCTTGTTGAATTTTCTCATAAAACCAACTATCCTTTTTTCTAGTTTTTTCTCATGGTTTAGAGCTCTTTTGAGCAAGAACTTAGAAGTTCCTTAATCTCAATTTGTGCGGAGGATCAATGAAATTAAGGGGTGTCGAAAGCTTTATCCGTCCCCTTAAGAACACATCCTCAATTTGGCAATCAATTTGACAGGTGGAACTTTTACTTGTACTAGAGAGAAACTAGCATCACCTTGTACGACTACCCACCAAAGCTAAGCTAGTATCTCTTCCAAAACCCGATTTTTGTGCAATGAAAAGATGCCTTACACGTCGGACTTACCCCACACTTTATTCTTTAATATACCATGGAAGATTTTCAAATATGTCTTAATGGGTATAATTTTTTGCATTTTCTAAAGATGCAGTTCACCCTTTTGAAAACTCTTGAAAATTGGAGACTCTTTTGCATAATCAGAAACATTTGTATAGATCACACAATATGACATTTAAACACATCAAACGATCATTTCACCCCATTGACTATAACATCCTTCCTAGTCACTACACTAGCCTCCCAAGATCAAGTGATGATAACTAGACTCATCGATTCAAATTAAGATGAGAAGTGATCATGCTTGTAGGGGATGACTAAAGTCATTAGATGGAAAACATCTTTAGTGATTTACAAAACCTTTAAGCACATATCACAACCATTTAGCATTGAATTATTTTGAAAATTCCAAATTTGTATCGACTAAAGATATAACACGTAGTAAATAGTAATCATATTTAAGCAAAAACATATCAACCATTCCCATCCCACACTTTAAAATGGACATTGTCCTCACTAAACTAAAAGATAGTGAGCCGTGGTAAAGTTGGAACAAATTAGCTCAAATGTCGATAAGAAATCCAAAATAATTCTCCATTGTAGCTCATCTCAATCAATGTTTTGAAAAATAAACAAAAGAAAACAGGGGGTACGCAATGCCTCGTCAAACTCCTCATCCTACATGTTCGGTTCTCCTGGTGGTGGTGAAGATCCTGGACGAAGGCCTCTGAATGCTCTACTCATGTCCTCCATCAATGAACGACTCCATTGTTGGGCCTGCTCTTGTTCTCTGTGCAAGTTAGAGTGTCCTCTCGCTCCATCTGTCTCTCATGATCCAGGGCATCCCGATGTTGCTCGTTCATAGTTTGTTAGTTGGTCAGCTCTCCTCCATACGTCTAACGACTGCTTGTATCTCTGCCAACTGGGTGCCATAGTCGCCATACTGCGATGGTGGGTGTCCAGTTTCATGTCCATGCTCCAGGAGCCTCTCTAAATACAATGACGGTTTCCCAGCATCCTAGCACCCAACATATGTAGAGCAAGTGGCACTGGCGAGGTCAACTCCCTTTCTTGTCATCTTGTTGAAACCAAAGATGATAACAGGTTGACGTTGAATAGGTCCTTCCTCTGCCAATGTGTCCCTTAAAGCAAATTCTACTCCTCTTTGATAATCGTCATTGTATTGGGCTATGGTATGATTATAGCCTCCTCTTGGTAGTCCTCGAGAAGTAACAACAGACGTGTACGTTAGAAGGTTGTCTATCACCAATCATGTTGGGTGAACTCTCCATTGATGTATCAAAGAATGATATAGAATCATATCATTGGAGGTCACCTTCCCACCATCACTCTTCTGTCTCAGGCTAAAGGATGTTCGACCAAAGTAGTGCACAAACCTCATGAAGGGAAACTTGATCATGGTGGGTTGTGAGTAACCAGCAGAAAACACGACCCTTTGGCTCCTTGTAAGTCTTATCTAAAGCTCCTAGAAGGTGTATGGTTGTGTTGTCAGTTGCCAATATGCTCCAAGGTTAGCCTCACAAAGTGTCCCCCCTATGATGGTACGAGATCCCAAGCTTTTTGGCAAAGCTATCATAACTATCCTCAAAGATCTGTCCTGCTAATCGATAGGTGATGCAGACCATACTCGTCTTCTACTAACAATGTGTCCAAGAACTCTTAAGTGAGGACATTGATGCTCTCTCCATGAATGCGAAATAATGACAGAAGACCAACATCATCCAATCTCTGTCTCAACTGTGTTCTCCATCCTTGGTACTGGTCAAAGTTTGCTAGTTTAGCTCCCCTCGTTGATAAACAAACAGGCTCTTCTATCTTGCTATCTTCTTGGAACTAGGACTCTCGCGGGGAAGCTGAAGGAAGGCATGTAGAGGAAGCTCAGGAGTGTCCTCTCTAATCTCCAAACCACTATCGGTCTCCATCACCTCATACTCTTATTGTAGCTATCAACTCCTACTCCTTGATTTCCCACCATCCATAGATAGCTTTCCACTAGTGTGACTCGATGATGTTTTAGCAAAGAGGAGGTGTGAACTCAAATCCCTCAAAACTCATCCTCTTCAATTACAATTGTCAGATCCCTCCTAATGAGACGTGTAGACCGTCGTCGTGTTACAATCTCAGGATCTTCTCTAGGTGGACTGATGCCTCGTCCCTCTTGATGACGAAGTGCCATCATCTCCTTTCTTCTTCTTATACCTTCCAATCAATGAGAAGGAACTCGACATTTTCCTGCTCAAAAGAAACCATATTAGCATAGATCAAAGGGGATACCGCACTTTTAAGAGCATGGCTTCTTCCATAAGCTAATCTTATAACTTCTCATGTATGTAACAAGATAGTAAGTCATATTATTCATAGATTGTGAATCTCATATAAAGATAGGAAGTATTTTATATCAAAATGTAGAAGTAATACAAAGCACATATCTGGAAAACTATAAAACCTTTAAAAGCTTCAAGTTATACTATTCGGAAAATGTCGATAAGTTGGCACAAGTAAAATGACATGCATTCGATCCAACATAGTAATGGAATTGAAACTAGCAATGTTCCACTCCCATTGTAATTCCAAAATCAAAACTCCTATCAACAAGTTCAAAAATGTAGCATAACTTTTTACATTTAAAGCTCAATGTGAAAATGTGTAATGCTAATTTTTTTTTATAATAATTTTGGCATAACCTTTGCTAAAGTTCATCAATCCATCCAGTTATATATTCATTACAAATCATTATAAGCACCACACAGTCTTATTTATAATCATTTAAGCAATCACCATTCATTCATAAACATTGATTGTGCCTAATAGAGGTCGTAAATTGCAAAAGACTTTCCAACCAGACTCATGGAACTTTAAACTCTGAAATCCTCAATCGAAGCCCTAAATTAATGGTTCAATCTCCTAAATTCTTCTAAATATCATGGGTGCTTACTTTGAGGCTTAGAGAGAAGGGAGAGGATTTACGGCTAGAGAGAGAGGGGAAAGTGAAAAATAAAGGTGAGTGGGGTGTTTTCCTTTTAAAGGGAGGGAGAGTGGCGGTGCTGCCGTGGTGGGGACCATCGTGGCTTCCTCTCCCGTTCTTGTTTGGATACCAGCATTTTCTCATTAGAACACTTATTGTCGTGGCTTCCTCCCATGGAACGCTCTCTCTTTTATGAAATAGTAGTATGTTGACACTTGATCCAAGGTCAACTAGATCTTTTTCACGTGATGGTCATCCATGAGACATGTGCTAATGATATTCCTAGAATCTTCCTTTACTTCATTAACTAGGATGAATTCTGCAACGCCCCAAGGGATTTTCTTTAAGGGGTTTCTTTTTCTTCAATCCTGTCATCTTATTCCATGAAGATCTCCAGCTTTCCTTTGAGATACTCCATTGAAATCATCTTTTCCAATATTGGCAGTGCCAATTCTGCTCCTCCAAAAGCTTCTATTAGATTCTGAAGAGGGATGGATAGTCAGCTTCCTCATTCTCTTCTTCCTTTTTCATGTTTTGGAAATTCTTGGCTGCTCCCATCCTAGTCGAGATGACCTTAACTTCCTCCTTCTTTGGATTGTTTTTTGTGTTCCTCGGGAGGTTTCTTTGAGGCTTTTGAGGTTGACCATTGATTAGGAGTGCAAATTGTCTCTTAATATTCTTGTAGCTCGTTTGCAATCCTATCACTATTGCCTCTAGCTTCTCGGATTTGGTGTGTTGCGGATTGGAGACACCTTCTCCTTGCCCCTTGTATTGAGGTTGATTTCCATATCCAGATGGACTTGGTTTCTTTTTACCATTGTGCTTCATGAACATTGGTTGCATTGCTAGAGGTTATGTTGGGGTAATCATCGATCATCTTCTCTCCTGGAGCAGGCCATTGACCATATGGTATGCAAGGTTGGTTGAATCTTTGATAAAGAGCATAGATACCTTCTTGCGGTCTCGATTGATATCCTTGATTTATATAATTGACATAAGAATGTCCTTACCCTTATTGGCTATAACACTCGAATCCTTCACGACCTTCTTCTACATATGCTTCACAAACAAACAAGGATGTCACCGGTCCATTCTTTGGCTCCATTAGTTATTGAGAGCTCTTTCATGTATGCGCATAGGGTAGCGACATCATCTCCTCTTCCTTGGGCATCTTTCAATGATTTATTTATTGATGGACGCTTACACCAGTTCATTGACTTCCTTGCTAGCGTGGCAAAATGCTCTTGACATTGCACTCCCATCATTGCTGTGAAATATGCAACAACTAAATGGTTTACCATCATCGTGGTGTCTTGATCAAGGCCTTTGGAAATGTACTTTGCAATTTGCTTTGGTGTGAATCCATGATGGGGGCATGCTTTGATATACTTCTAGAATCTCCTCCAAGCATCATAGAAAGTCTCTCCTTCCTTAGGTTGAAATTGAGCAATCTCATCTTTAAGTTCTTCTTTCTTCCATGGTGAAAAGTATTCCTCGATGAATGCTTGTGAAAGGGTTTCCCAAGTGGTGAAGGTTCTTGATGGATGGTATTCGAGCCACTACTTTTCTCCTCCTCTAAGTGAGAATGGAAAAATTTGTAGTCGAAATCCATCTTTGGTAGCATCAACTCCTGGTATGGAATCGACGATCTCTAAGAATTTCTTCAAGTGTTGCACGGATCATCATCATTCCTGCCTCCAAATTACCTTGCTTTTTGCACCATCTAGATGAGTTGAGTTCTGATCTCTATGGTCATTGGTGGCACAATAATTCTTGAGATTATGTTGGATGCTCTTGGCCTTGAGTACTCATAAAGAGTTGGTGGAACGACCATTTGTCTTTGTTCTTCTTCTCCAGCAACAATGTTGAAGATGCTCCTTCTACCTACGAATCGAAGTTGTCTTCGTCAATGATGTCCTCCTCTTCAAAGTCTTACTAAAAATTGGTGGGGCTTGACGATTCTTCTCCTCCTAAGCTAGATGCTCCTTCCTTCGTCTTCAAGATTGGTGAACTAGATGCTCCTTCTTCCTGAAGTATCTCTTCCACGATCTTTAGGATTTTCTTATAGTACTTACTGGACTCGTACAAAAACCTGCAAAACAAAAAGGACTCAATACTAGACACAAGAGGGTTAGATGCTTTTATATATTATTAGAAATCCTCGGCAACGACGCCAAAAACTTGATGGTTTAGTTCATACAAGTAATAAAAATTCCTAGGATGCCCTGGATTCATACTCCTCGAGGTCTTATAATGCACAACTACTCACACCAACCATCATGACATACACAAATTGAACAAGCAAACAAGAAAAGTAAAGTTTTGTAGGGGTTTTGGATTTATAGATGCATAAAAGTAAAATACGTTATTGTAATAGATTGTAAACTCGAAGATGATCATGCAACCTAGGGCACATCCACATGATGCATTGATGGTTCATATATTGTAACACCTTGTCCCGTCCTCTAAGGCCACTCTCTACCCGAGCATGTGCCTCTTGCTATAGAGATTTAACTAGCTAATGCATGCTTCCGTTTCATGTCATTAACTTATTAATGCAGAATGAGGAAGTTAGGATAGCATATAATTAATTGTGGGCTTCTACAAACCACAACTATAGTCAATAGCATCAATGATCTAACAATCAAACATTGATACTACTCGAAGCATAGATGGGTGATCAATCCTCCCATACTTGTTTAGCATCAATGGGGTATCTCTACAAGGTAATTTTTCGACAATCTGTGCAGCACTAAGCACAATGCATATTTATTTTCAAAAAAAGAAAAGCACAATGCATATAGTAGCATACAATAGAATCATAAGCATCGATGGTAAAGAGAATTCATACTATGGAAACATCAATGACCATCATAAGCATCGAATACAAGCAAGCATCAAGGATCATCATAGGCATCGAAATTCATAGACAAACACAAGCATGAGATGAAATCATAGCATTCATTTACATAACAAAAAACAAGAACACATCCTAATACAATCAATTTCGACTAGCTATATAGAGGAAAATGAAGGTACCACCATCAATGATGACAACATCTCCTTAGTTGCAGACCCCTATACTTCGACTAGACTAGGCACTCTTGTAGAGTATTACATAAATTTGTGTGTTTGTGGTGGCTTATTTGTACAATGGAATCATGCCCTCTATTTATAGGTGAGAATCCAGCCTAAAATAACCTAAACCAACTAGAAAGAGTCTCCTAAACCTAGTAGGCTTAGGAAACTCCGTCACCAAGGAAAAGGGATAGCGACGCTATGGTGTCGGTTGGACCCGCTGCTCTGATTCTGCATGGGTTGGGCTTCTTGATCAATGGACTTCAATTCCAGAGATTTGGTCTGCAACTTAGGGTAGCGGTTGGACCCGATGCTTGGACCCCCGCTCTTTGTTTCTTCACAATGGGCTGATTCTTCCTCATATGGGTTCGTCTTGACATAAACTAGCAACTTGTAGTTGACTTCTCCGTCATTGGACCACTCCTTCGTGAAAACTCCTTAAACTTCTCTTTATAGCTCTTTTGGTCTTCTATAGTTCTTCAATGCTAGATCCAATCTTCCTTAGGTAGCTTTGTAACTTCAAATCCATTAAAATTATATCAAGAAGTCATCAAATAGTACAAGAACATTGCTCAGTTCTATTAAAAGCTCATTGATCAAATAGATGCGATTTAGACAAGAAATACCATTGAAATATCTAAAGATGCTTCAGTAGAACACTACAAAAAAGACTGGCAGATGTTACCAGACGATTGGCGTCACAAAAGGCCTTTTCTCGTCACTAAAAGTTTATTTTGACGAAATACGGTCGTTAGCAGGTCGTGGGGTAAAGGTCCGTAGGTAATAGTCTAAAAAAATTTGGCGTCATAAAAACCTTTTTTGTGATGATAAATTATCCTCAAAACCCAATTTATCATTGTCGGAAAAGTACCCTTGAGGAAAAAACTTGACGAAAAGTTTTTATGAGAGAGGAAAAACTATTTCTAAAGAAATTATTTTGTGAGTTCAAGTATTTGTGAGAATATATTTTTGTAAGCAAAAATATTTTTTTGTTGATAACACCTTGGAATATCCATCCCCAAAATACCCTTATGTGTTTTTGTGATGACCTGTACATTGTCAGAAAATGTATAATTAGAAAAAAAAATTTGTTTCCCAATATAATATTTTGTTATTTCCTACGAGTAAAAGTCCTCATAAATGGAGAACTCTTCAGAAATGAAATTATTACCGACGCAATGATTTCGTCAGAACACTAAAGAACGACATCAAAAATGAAAACATTCATGACGAAGAAAATGACGAAAACTTTTACCGACAAGTCGTAAATTCTTTTGTGATGATATGGTCTCATAAAAATACATAATTTATAATGGACCTTCCAAAATACTGGTTTTATTAAAAATACATATAATAATATAGGTAAATACATTTAATACCCAAAAACGTAATTATTGCCTATGCATTTCCCAACAACAAAATAAATGATCGTATATTAAAAACACCAACAAATTATTATTCCATGAAATTTTTAATATCAATGACAATTAATGTTCACAACTTACTATATACATTTATTAGAAAATCAGAATACATTATTAATACAAATTATTAATTAAAAAACAAATCTCTGTCGCTTCCTCTCCCACCCACTGCTGCTCTTTGCGATTTCTTCCTCCTTCTCCAATGGCCAACCACGACCCTCTTCTCGGTGAATCATTGCTATCATCGAGATGCATCTTGTGATTCCTGTTTCAAATGACAAAAGAAACAATAAATCAGAATCAATAGGAAAAGCGAGTCAGAAAACAATCACAATCCATCCTAGAATCATTCAAGATCAACTACATACCAACCAGAAAAACCATATTTCGACGTTGGCGGGTGTTGCTTCCCCACCACCACCAACGAATGCTCTTCTCCCATACATTGAAACCCCAGAAAAATAAAAAAGTAGCGAAGGGTTCAGAATCCGATCAAAATCCTTGAGAGCGAGAATCAAAGGAAAACAATATGCAACCCAAAATTTACTACCTCAGACCACCATCTCTACCGTCGTCATCGTCTACGAGGTCGAAACGCTCCAGCCTCGTTGTTGTCCTCGCTTGCGCTAGGTAAGAAAGAGACTGTTTCCCTTTCTTTCCCTTCTTCCACTCTGCTAGTAGACCTTAGAAAGAAGAGGGATCGGTTTTTAGAAGGTGATGAAAAGGAAGCCGAGAAAGAGGATCAGTGAGGTGAGAAAAAATATAATATAATGTGGAGTAGGAAGGGAAGTTGGATTGTTTTCTGCTTAAAAGGAAAAGACTTGAAGAAGAGATGATGTGTCGGCTGAAGGAAGGAGTGAGATTAGGGACTTAGGGTTTACAAATCACTATAAGGAAGTCTGCACCTCCTTGGTAACCCGCACAAAACGGAGGGTTCAATTAATAATTTGAACCCTCTATTCTTTTATCCCTTCGCGTTCCACATTCCTCCGTTCTCTCTCTCCCTTTTTTCAAACAATTACCTCCGCCTTTCTATATATCTTGCCTCGTAAGCTCCGCCTCCAATCACCTCAACGGTGCCGGCCAACTCGACAAAAGATGCCACACAATCGGACTACGCTGTCTGTTAAAAATACATACAACAAAATAATTTTGTTAGCTTTCTAAATCGTTCATGATATAATTTTGTATTTGCAAAAACTTGGTAAATTAAATTATATGTCAAAACTATCAAGAATATCACCATATATGTATCAAACAATTATTTATGATTTAGTTAGACATTTGCTTTTGAATCGTGTTCTTCGTCAAGACCGTTTAGTATCATTAACTCAAGTTGTTAGGGAAGATTCAATAATGAATCTAATACTATTTAGTATTTACTAACACTTTCATGCTTACTACAACCAACTTATGCGTGCTTAAAGTTTACGTAAATCCGAATATCATGTGTTTAACAAATGGGGTTACAAAGATTCGAACAAATGATATCTCGGTCAAACATTCTCAATTAGAAGTGTCCTAAATTTCATTCTCAATTAACTATTATACTAATTTACTCATTTTCGTCCTTAGGAAACACCTGTTACAATCTCCCTACCCCTTATTGAAATAAAATTATTTTTACAAATGAATTATGATTTGGTGGAAATTTGTTGTAAATATTGACATCTTCAATTTTGATCGAATCATATACATCATTATCATTTGTACATAGCTCGTTATAAATACATTGAATATGTCAACGCTCGTTATAAATCATACATCAAATATTTCGAAAGTCTACCAATTTCATTTAAATACGTATTACTTTTCATACCCGATTAACTATTGTACCTAATTGACCATTTTCTAACTCGAGCCAGGGAGGGTCCCGGGACCCACCCTCTAACTCTCTCCCTCCGCCCCTGGCTTCTAGGATGCTTTTTTTAGTAAGGATATAAAACTGTATCGTATCATCGGTTCAAGAAGAAAAATCCCATATCAAATGCTAAGTCGGTAGGCAATATTTAGCGGTATGAAGGGATTGAAACACGATTTCAATCATTGAATAATTGATAGACCGTTAATTACACATGTTTTTACCCCTGTTCTTACACCGTTTGAGATGTGATTTCTCGTGTTTTAGGCCGATTTCACGCTAGGGTGTGCTTGTTTGTGATATTTCAGGTCCTAGTACGTGAATGGAGGCTTGGGAGCGAGTTTGGGGTCGATTGGACGAAGATCGGGCGCGAGGCAAGTCACAAAGGAGGCCACACGGGCACACCCACAAATCACACGGCCGTGCAACTCATATTTGTGGCCGTGTGAGATTGTGCGAGAGCAAACACGGCCTGCCCTGATAATCCACACGGCCGTGTGAAGAAGTGGTCTGGCCGTGTGACTTTCGCCGAGAGCAAACACGGGCAGATGGACGTCACACACGGCCGTGCGACCCTGGCCGTGTGGGATGCCTGAAGGACGAACTAAGTGGAACGCAGCGTTTTGACTCACACGGGCAACTGGGTATGCCACACGGCCGTGTGGCCCTGCCCGTGTGAGTCGGGATTTCTTGGTTTTAACCCAATTCCGGGCTGCAAGAGGGAGAATCGGACCTTTTGAGCAAAAACAGAGCCCTAGAGAGAGAAAGGACGAAGAACACATCCTAGAAGCCATCTTGGAGCTGGGTTTCATCAAATCAAGCTTGGAGATCGTCATAGGAGTGGAAATCATCATCCCAGAGCAGATTTTCCTCATCTTTATGAGTATGACTACTTTGTATCTTGTTTTCCTCTCTCTCTCTATGGAGTAGAACCCCTCTCTCACTTGGGGATGAAGAACCCTAGTTCTATGTGTTAGGGATTGAGTGTAATGACTTGGGATGATATTACTGTTTGATTTTAATCAAATGATGCATGTTTATTGAGTCAATTGAAGTCTGATCAACTTTTCCTGATTCCTGCTGCAATCTGAGATAGATAGAATCTGATTAGGTTGCTAGAGTCTCATCATTCGGTAGTAGGAGACTGGCTATACGAGAGTTAGCCAGTTTACTGCTTTGTACTGGAATCTAATTCCAGTAGTGGAGTTCTGTTCTTACTGCTTCAGCTTTCTATCCCGGTGAAGACTAGTCGTCTGCCGGGTAGATAGACTGAGAGGGCTTGGTCAGCTTAAGAGATTCCAAGCTACTGTCGGATCTTCCGCAGTCTAATCAACAGTAAATCAACCCAGGGAAATACAATTGAAACCTAACTAAGGAGCTAGGGGGATTCATTCCCGAGTGACTCTTACCTGCTTGAGAAAACCGAATAATTTCCTGCTTTCTTTCTGCTTTTGTTTTTAAACAACAATCACTTACTTTAGTTGGCTAGATAATAGAGAATCACTGAGTAAGCAGTAGACCTAGACCCCGGGTTGATAATATAACTTGCCTGTTACTGCATTCCCGGTCTGCGATTACACTTGGTCGCAGATTGGTGTTGTGTTTTGGCGTGTCAATAATTGACTATTACTCAATTGTCAAACTATTATATCCTCATGCCATTGTATTCGGTACATTAATGGAGGATATGTAACACCCTACCCTATACGTTTTGCCTAATCATATTGTTCATACAATTGCAGCGGAATTAATCTCGGGCGTTACATTAATTATCAAAATTTACCCAAATAAAATTTCGACATGAATTACTCGCGTAATGGGCTAACAGTTCTTGCAACTTATCCTGCAAAATAATTCATTACAACATATATACTCACAACCATATGCATTGGCTTTTCATAGCCATAGTCACAGTTTCATACTACACAACTGCATACCATACTAATACAAGCCATAATCGTCATAACTTACACAATTACAAAAATATACACATATCATCAACTTTCCACACCTGTGGATATCTCACACTACATTCGAAGCTAGTATGCACATGAAAATGTTCTCAAAACATTTTTACAAAAAGGTGTGGATCACTGGCCAAAATCCCAAGTAGTCGTCCAAGCACAGAATAGTTGAAGACCATACCTCATCTTGGCTTCAACTCTAGCTCCTCTCCCCTAACACTTATCTACTGCTGCTGCTGATGATCTGCTTACACATAGCATAAGCAGAGAAGAAGAATAAAAGAGGGTCAGCTCATAGCTGAGTGAGATAATCATAGCATCGTGAGTTCATAACAGAGCATACCCCTACCATACATCTAGCAAACAAGCCAAAACACTAGGATCGGACCTCAGCCATCCTCATATCCCAATAAGCAAAAGACTCAACCACTTTGACTTATGCATATGCATCTTATCATGTTTTAATCATAGGCGCCTGGCTACTCCCATGCTAATAACTCTCCCGGGAAACATACCCCACATCCCGTCGGATGTAGTCATACATACCCCAACATCCCGTCGGATGTGGTCATACATACCCCACACCACTATGGGTGTAGTCATACCCCGACACCGCTCTGGGTGTGGTCAAATCTCGTAAGAATTCTTCAGTCACCACCACATGAGAGGTGTGACTATCATACATATCATAATAGAGTAATAGCACAGGGAGCCCTAATTACTATGTAGTTGACCGTGAGACCACAACACTCATATTTGGTATCCTTATACATGATTCATATCTCATCTTGCTTAATCACAATTCGTTACTTGCACATGTACTTGACCTGCCCATAATTGGCTCAACATAGGTAAACCAGGAGTTGTATAATTGCACTTCCTCGGGATAAACCCTCGTGCAAGTCATCCTCCTTAAACATCATAATATCACCCTGGGAAGTTTATTCCCCCACTTATGGATCCAAATACAACCATAATATCACACCATGTCAAAACCCCTTATCGAACAACCATGAAGTCATATCAACAATTAAGCCACAAATGGCAACATGTATGCAATCATCAACATAAACAAGGTTCATATCGGTTAGGGCAAGTCAATAATATCATACAGCAATCCAGGGTTCAACATATAGCACAAAAGCTCATACACCCCTGATCATGTCATTCTAGTTCACTTAGATCAATTCTAAGCATCAATATAATTATCGTGATACGACAAACCCGGTATGCCGTGCTAATCCCTCACCAGTTCTGGTCGTTCAAACACCGGTTTAACCTTCCCGTACTAAAATGTCAATTTCACGAACGAACCCCGAATTAAAATCCGAGACCGTCCTAATATCCCCTGCAGTATCCCCGTCAATATTAGTTCTAGGCTCCGGGTCAAATTCTTGATAAAAACACATCAAACCCTGGCCGGAGTTAAATTCAGCGATCCCGGCTCCGATCTAAATAATAGCCGAAATTCAGGGATTAGAACTAGAGGATTGATTACCTCGCTGCAGGAAGCTCGTATATGAAATTTGGGCTCAATTCGGCTTCCGGATACTCCAAAACCCTAATTTAGCTTATCGGGAATTCAAGAAATTCCTGAACCAAAAACTCGTTTTAAAGCTCTAAATCGATAAATCACGATGTATAGATGAATTAGGCATTACTTACGAGATTTTTGGATCACTGTAGCTCAAGATTGGAGCTGGGGAATTTTTCACAAAAGCCTCCCTGTGCGCGCTCTGCTTCTCGTTTACTCTCGTCCCAATTTAATGGTACAGGAACAAGAAATGGAAATAATGGTTAGGGGGAATGTATATATATATGGGGCGCCGCTTATTGTTAAGTTTTTATATTAATTATATATATATATATATATATATATATATTATATATAATTAATACGTATACTTATCCGATCGATCGATAATCCGATTTTCGCCGAAATACTGTCGAAATGCTCGATTTTAAATCGCGAACTTTCTAGCGATCGAAAAATGGGTTTTGCCGGAACGGGATGTTACAATTCTCCCCTCCTTAAAAGATTTCGTCCCCGAAATCTAACCTTGAGTCATACTCTAACTCCTCTTACTAACCCTTAACATGATCTATCATACATAAAGTCATTACCTAACTCTTAGGTCAGGCAATTCATAACATAGAAAGTAACACATAACACCTCAAGTTCCCATGTTTAGGTTTCAAAACCTATACTGGGCTATCACAACAAAAGCACATCAGCAAGTTCAAAACATAACTTACTAAGCAAGATTGTTAACCTTCAAAGTATGTCGCTACCAACTCAGGGTACTTCTCTCGCATACTTGCTTCAGTCTCCCAGGTAGCACTCTCACTTTCCTGATTTCTCCAAACCACTTTCAACATTGGGATTTCCTTCCTACGAAGATTCTTAATCTGGTAATCAATAATCTCAACTGGAACCTCTTCAAATGTCAAATATGAACCCAACTCGATCTCTTCTGGTTGTATAACATGGGAAGGATCCACTTTGTACCTCTTCAGCATACTAACATGAAACACATTGTGGATTTGGTATAGCTCTGGAGGCAATGCTAGTTTATATGCCACTGGTCCAATCTTCTCTATGATTTCATAAGGTCCAATATACCGAGGTGCAAGTTTCCCTTTCTTACCAAATCTCATTACGCCTTTCCAGGGTGAAACTTTGAGAAATACTTTCTCACCCACCTCGAAATTAACTTCACGCCTATTCGTGTCAACATAAACTTTCTGTCGATCTAGAGCCACCCTCAAACGCTCCCTGATTTCCTTGACCTTGTCAACTGTGATCTGAACTATCTCTGGCCCTGAGATTTGCCTTGCTCCTTCTACATCCCAACATAATGGTGTTCTGCATTTCCTCCCATAAAGTGCTTCATATGGTGGAACACCCAAACTACTATGGTACTGATTGTTGTAAGCAAACTCAATCAAGGGCAAATGGTCAATCCATGATTCCTCCCATTGCATTACACATGATCGAAGTAACTCTTCTAAGGTAAGGATGGTTCGTTCACTCTGCCCATCTGTTTGAGGATGATAAGCTGAAGTAAAATGCAGTTTAGTTCCCAAGGCATCATGTAAACTTTGACAAAACCGAGATGTGAAGCTCGGGTCTTGATCAGAGACAATAGAAATTGGCACACCATGCAATTTGACGATCTCCTTAATATATAATTGAGACAAAGTCTCCAGTGATGGTTTCCATCTAATGGGTAAAAAGTGAGCCGATTTGGTCAGTCGGTCCACAATAACCCATACTGCATCCTTTCCCCTTGATGGTGGGAGACCATATACAAAATCCATTGTGATTCTTTCCCACTTCCATTCTGGAATTGGAAGTAGTTGTAGTTTTCCCACAGGAGCTTGATGTTCTGCCTTAACTTTCTGACATACCAGACATGTGAAAACATGTTCAGCCGCTTCCTTTTTCATCCCACGCCACCAAAAATATGGTTTGATTGTGTGATACATTTTAGTTGCTCCTGGGTGCATAGCATAAGCAGAAGAATGAGCTTCATCTAGGATCTCTTTCCTCAAGTTATCAACATTAGGAACACATGCTCTTCCATTAATCTTCAACATGCCATCTACCATTTCAAATGGGCTTTCTTTTCCTTCCTCAATGTCTTGAATGATTTTTGCCAACTCTGGGTCCTCCTTCTGCTTCTCACAAATTTTGTCATGCAATAAAGGTCGAATGTTCAACCGAGCTAGTAACCCTGTTACACCATCCACTTCCAAATCAACATTCATTGCTCTCAAATCAACCAGATCCGGTATATTCTTCTTGCCTTTTCTGCTCAGAGCATCAGCAACTACATTAGCTTTACCTGGATGGTAATCAATGGTACAATCATAATCTTTCAGAAGTTCAATCCATCTCCTCTGGCGACTATTTAAATCCTTCTGATCCATAATATACTTCAGGCTTTTATGATCAGTGAGGATTTTAAAAGTCTCACCATACAAATAATGTCGCCAAATCTTGAGAGCAAATACCACCGCTGCCAACTCCAAATCATGAGTGGGATAATTTACTTCATGAGGACGCAATTGCCTAGAGGCATATGCGATAACTCTTCCATCTTGCATTAACACACAACCCAATCCTTGATACAAGGCATCACTATACACCACAAACTCCCCCTGACTTGAAGGTAGTGCAAGTACTGGTGCGGTGGTCAATCTCTTCTTCAGTTCATCAAAACTCCTTTGACATGATTCATCCCAAATATACTTGGTATTCTTCCTTAACAGTTTAGTCAATGGTGCAGCAATTTTAGAAAATCCTTCGACAAACCGCCGATAGTAACCTGCCATGCCAAGAAAACTTCTCAACTCCGACACATCTTTTGGTGGAGTCCAACTCACCACTGCTTCCACTTTTTTCGGATCCACCTCGACACCTCTTCCAGAAATTACATGTCCCAGAAATATTACCTCCTTCAGCCAAAACTCACATTTTGAGAATTTTGCATATAACTGTTTCTCCCTTAGAATTTGCAACACAATTCTAAGGTGAGTTTTGTGCTCCTCCTCGCTTTTAGAATAGATGAGAATATCATCTATGAATACAATCACAAACTTATCAAGATATTCATGGAAAACTCTATTCATAAGAGCCATAAATACCGCTGGTGCATTAGTGAGTCCAAAAGGCATTACCAGGAACTCATAATGCCCATATCTTGTTCTAAAAGCTGTCTTTGAGGTTGCTCCATCTGCCACTTTCAATTGATGGTATCCAGACCTCAAATCAATCTTAGAAAAGACTGATGCACCCTGCAATTGATCAAACAAATCATCTATTCTTGGAAGGGGATAACGATTCTTCACTGTCGCCTTATTCAACCTCCGGTAGTCAATGCACATTCTCATGGAGCCATCTTTCTTCTTGACAAACAAAACCGGTGCACCCCATGGTGAGATGCTAGGTCGAATAAACCCCTTGTCTAGCAATTCTTGCAATTGTTCTTTAAGCTCCTTAAGCTCAATTGGTGCCATTCTATATGGTGCCATTGAAATTGGTGTTGTGCCAGGTACCAATTCAATATCAAACTCTACTTCCCTTTCTGGTGGAAGGCCGGGAAGTTCTTCGGGGAATACATCAGGAAATTCCCTTACCACCTCTACATCCTCAACCTTCTTATCATTTACTACAGTAACTTGAGCAAGAAAGGCTTCACAACCTTCCTTCACTAATCGAAAAGCTTCCAAGGCAGAAAGAAAACCATGAGTCTCCTTTTTCTTAATGCCTCGGAATACAACATGACCTTTATCTGGTGTGTTGAATAACACTTCTTTCTTTTGACAATCCACAACAGCTCCATGTGTTGCCAGAAATTCCATTCCAAGGATGACATCAAATTCATCAAAAGGTAGCAGAATTAAATCTGCTGCTAGGAAAGCTCCTTCCACACAAATGAAGGAACTTCTAATAACTGAGTCTACCTTCAAGGTATCTCCCACAGGTGTTTTAACACATAAGGTATAACCTAGCTTATCTGGAACTAAGCGTAGCATATGTGCAAACGTATATGACATGAATGAGTGAGAGGAACCAGTATCAATCAAAGCATATAATTGCTTGCCAAGGATAGAAAGCATACCAGTTACAACTTCTGGTGCCACTTCTGCCTCACCTCGAGTCATTGCATAAACCCTCGGTGCTCCCTGTGCTCTGGTACCCTGCGTACCACTTCTTGATGGCTGATTTCGACCACCACCTCTACCACCCTGTGAACCACCACGACCACTCTGAAATCCACTACGGCCTCCCTGGTAACCACCCCTGAATGGGGCTCTACTCATTTGCACTGAAGGCTCGGACTGTGTAGCTCTTACTTCTCTCGCATGCGGGCAATCCCTCATGATGTGCCCAGGTTGGCCACAGTGAAAGCATACACCAGAAAATCTCCTACACTCTCCAAGATGCCTCTTCTGACAAACTTGACAAAATGGAAATTGTGTAGCTGAGGAAATTGGTGCCCTGTATGATGTTCCCGACATAGATTGACTTGGTGTTCTCCCAAAACTGCTAGGACCTCTCCTAGGTGGGTAACGAGGTCCAGCATAATTTACTCCAAACTTCCTCTTCTTCTCCTCTTCTTTGGCCTTGTGTTCCTCTCGGCTCTCAACTTCATAGGCTTCATACTTAAGTGCTGCCTCCTTGATTGTGGCCATGCTCTCTTCATCAACCCTGTGGATCTTTTCTTTCAATCCTATGCGCAGACCATGCAAGTATCTCATCTTCTTCTTATGCTCAGTATCCGCCAACCCATCCTCAAATTAGAGTAGTCGAACAAACTTGATGGTGTACTCAGTAACTGTCATATTCTCCTGCTTAAGGTTGGCAAATTCATTGTTCTTTGCCCTGATAAAAGCTTCAGGAAGAAACTCTATCTTAAAGGCCTTCAGGAACTCCTCCCAGGTGAACTGAACTCGTTCACCATTAACTCTAGAGACTGAGGACCACCAGCTCCTCGCGTACCCCTTCAGGAGAAAAACAACATATTGTACTTTTTCCTCTGGGGTCGCATAAAGATACTCAAACACATCTTCCATCTCTCGCAACCACTCTACTACAGCATCTGGGCTCACATCTCCCTTAAAGTCCCTACCACCCAAAGTCTTCATCTTTGCATAGTCTAATACTGGAGGTCTTGCATCAACCGCCCCCACTCCTCTCGACTGGTCAGTAGGAACATTTTCACAACTTCCGTGCAGCTATAAGGAAATATTGGCCTTAGATTGATCCACAC